TTTTTTTGACAGAGGATATGGAGACCAGTGTAAACCCAGCGAGACTGACATTGGTGTATTTCCTGGTCCCTCTAGAACATTGCTTGGCCCATGGGCACATGAGTTACAGATTCATAAATCTTAAACATTGTTAGGGACAAAGTCACTCTGCTTTCCAATTGTTCATCAACACAGTGCCAGCAGCAGAGGCAATGAGAGACCAGGCATGTCCTCACTGTGGGACCTGAACCCGCACTACCTCCATGAACCTTCAGTTCTCACCCATCAAACACATAGCTGTGGAGATGCCTTGAAAACCATACAAGATGACTGAGGCCAGCCTACTCTGCATACCAGTTCAGGCTTGCAGACATTCTACCTGGATACCCTCTAGTTGTGCAGGAACCAAGGTCAGACTTAATGGGAAGTCCTCTCCATTTAGACACCATGACCAAAAATGGACACCAGGAGCCCAAGTCACAGGGTGTCACCATGGCCTATGACCAGAGAAAGTGACTAATGGAAGGATGTTCATTGGTCCTTGGTTAACTGGACCCAGGAACTCATCTGCTCATCAGCACTGGAAGTCTGTGTCTAAGTGGGAAGGATTTCCAGGGACATCAGCGGTGGTTGTTATACCAAGAAAGGCAGTTGTTGAATTCTGTTATCTTCTTTCCCTTCCAAGGAACAGAAACAAGCTGTGCTCTGTGGGAAGATATTTCTAAATATTCTGACTGAGAAAATGCATTTGAATGCAAGCGTTCACTTGAAACTTTACAGTTCCCTTTCGTGTCAAGAGATATGCTTGGCTTTGTTGTTTTTATTTAGCTATTTCTGTTCTTTAATCTACTGATTGCTTTTGCTGTCCCCAAAACATATGAGTCAAGCCTTTGGGCACCAACAACACCCCTGAGTGCACTTGCAGACCCAAGGCTCAAGGTTGTCATGGTCTCCACCACCATCTTCATCATCATTACCATCATTCTGTGGCCCTCATCAGCACTAGGACACCCTTTAACTAAGCTGCTTCTCATCTTTATATGCGTAGTATCTCCAATGCCTCCAGCTACTCTGCATGGTAAATACTGCTCTGCCCATGTTATGGTAGCATTTAAACACTTGGAGTATTTAATTACTAGCTTGGGTGCACACCTTTTGAGTAGCAACAATTGCCTTTCTGTATATTGTACATAGCATCCAATAGAAGATCCACCTCCTATCTCTCTGGAACCTTTACATCTAGGGGCCCACAGCTGACCTTGTCTGAATCGCTGAAAGAGCCTCAGTGCTTAAAGGATGCAAAATTGAGGCATGGACAATGGGAGCTTCTGAGATTCTGAAGTCTCTAGGAGGAGGAATATGTAATTTTGCTCAATGATGAGAAAAGGGGAAGTCTGATGGAAACTGTCTCCTGTCCTGGAATTGCAAACAACAAATTAGGCTTGCAAATTAGACTGAAAGGGGGAACTCAGAAAAAGACACACTGAAGTCTGGAAGGGAGATGAGCCCCGAGTGCAGTCACTGTCAAAGCCACATTGACCCCATGAGCTACACAATGACAGTCAACGGTAGAATCCCCAGACCCCTATCTAAAGGCACAGAACAATCTCCATTAGCTGTTTCAACAGATGCAACAAAAAAATCCAGCTGATCATTCTTCCTTCCAATCCTGAAGCTCAGCATTTGTGCCCACCTTAGCTTCTCAGGAATATTGTCTCAAAGCACAGTGGCTTTGAACAACAGTACAGTCCTGAGTTCTGTGCATCAGAACTTGGTGACAGGAGGTATTACCAAAGCTGTGCTCCTCCCAGGCACTCGGAGGAGGCACCTGTCTGCTTGTCTAAAGCCTCCCAATTCCTTGGCTTCTCCAACCGCAAAGCCAGCAGCAAGGCATCTTCCAGGTCTTCTCACCTGCCCCCTTTTGCCTCTTTCCCCCTTTTGTCCTTTCCTACTCCTTCTTCCCTTCATCCTCTCTTCCTCCCCACCTCCCATTTCCTCTATGCCCTCCTCCACCTTCTGCTTCTTCCATCACATCTCCTTATTTGGACCCTCCTGCCTCCCTCTTATAAGGAACTTAACCATTTCCTTGGACCCATCAGGAGAATCCAGCAGCATCTCTTCATGTCACAACCCTTGCTGTAGTCACAGCATCAAAGGCCTTCTTGCTCTGTAAGGCAACATGTGCCTGGGTTTGGGGAAATTAGGCTGTGGACATCTTGAAAGAAAGGCAGGGGACCGCTTTCTACAGGGGCTTGCACCTTTCACTGGGGCCTGTGTTGGGTGCCTGGGCTTGTAGTCAATCTTATGCCTTGGCTTCAGCTTCTGCTCTTTGCAGAAAGAGGCAGAGATTTTTAGCCCCTGGACCATGCCCTTTCTCTGTAGAGGCTTCTAGGCAATGCCACCATCACAGAGGCCATCCAGTACTGTTTGTGTGTCCTCAACTCTCAGACAGTTCTCGGGCCCTCTTTTCCAATACCGCCTATCTTCCATGCAAGGAGAGATGAGAGCTTTGGCAGTCTCAGGGCGCTCCTAGCTCTGCCCTCCTACTTCCTAAGATCATTTAGTCAACAGGCAGCAAGGGGCAGCCCAAGCTGCCCTTCATCTGCTCCTGGTATGAACATCAGTTTCCAGAGAGCGCTGTTTGCCCAGAACCTAGCAGCAGCAGCACTAAAGGAATCCCTAGGCTTACATTTTCTAATTAAATCAGCACAAATTTAATTTGGATGTAATTTTTTAAACACGACCCATAAAAATATCCACAAGTACTGCTCTACTGGGCCTCCTGGAGGGAAGACAGCCTAGGACACCCCTGGAAGGTCTATTCTGTGTGCTAATCAGCAGCAGATGCCACAGACAATGTAAGGTCCTGGGTCTGCACAGGCTCAGTACAGACATAAAATTGTGAATCATGGGCAGGAAAGGTCACCAGGAAAGGGCAAAGCTAAGAAATACCAAGATTCTCTCTTTGACATTTCCCACAAATTGGGGAACTGAGGGTTGGTCTGAGGTGAGCAAAGACTGGTTCACAGAGACCTAAGGTCTGCAGGCTGCAGGGCAGAGTCCAAAGAGCTGGAACCTTGAGCCCCAAGCACCTTCAGCCATGCTAGCTGGGTTCTGCGAGGCTCTTCATCCACCTGAGCCTTAGACTGGGAACACTGTACTCTGCCTTGTGCACTTACAAGTGGTCTTACAGAGAGTGTGGAGAGCAGATGCTCCATGGGAACAACCAGGGCTGGGATGGCTCAGGTCACCACTGGGGCATTATTAGGTTTTTGTTGTTGCTGTTTCTGTTTTTGTTTTGTTTTTCAGAGATGATTTCTTGCTTTCTACTGAGCATTTGTCCAAGCAGTTATAAGATGCAGTGGCTCAGCAGTCACTGGGGAAAGTGTGGCCTGGGCATTTCCCCTGCCACTGGTTCTTCCTGCCATCTGAAATCCACACTGATTGCAGAGAGAGACTTCCAAGCTGGGGCTCCTCTGGCTTCTGCAGCATGGAGCCCACATATCCCCAACTTCTGCAGAACTTGATCTGAGTAATCATCTTCAATATGAAGCTACTGGCTCTGTGTTCTCCTCCATCTCTCCCTGCCTTTAACTGCACTGTGCCCAGTTTATGATTCTCCTGTTGCCTCCACACTTTGGGAAACTCCAAGGGAATTTTTTAAATTGGTTTCTCCATCTTCAGCCTCTTGCCAGTGGTCCTATTAGAGCCCTGCTCTCTTGACTGTAGCCAATTCCAGCCACATCAGCTTCTCACAGGACAGCATGGTCAGAGGTACAAAGCAAGACCAATGAGCTGGAGGCCTCCTAAGCTGAAATCTCAGATGGACCCCCAGCCAGCACCTGAAGCCCTGGAGTCAAACACAGGCTCCCTGCTTCCTACTGAACTGTCTTTTCTAGCTGATACTTAAGTGTACTCTTGTACTCTGACATTTTTAATTTTGTTGAGAAATTGTAAAGATGCAGGAAAAACAAGTGGCAGTATTCTTACTTATCCATCAGAACTGACACTTTCTTAATGTCACCTGATAGATATAGATATATATGTATATATGTGATAGATCAGTTATAACATGTTTGGTTTTTCCATACTTATAAGATATTAACATATTTTGCATTTATAATTAAGTCTTTTACTGTTTGGCAAATTTACATATTTGTAAATGTCATACACACATAGGACATTACAGCCAGGTTCGAAGTCCCTCCCCTCTTGACTCCTAAGGGAGGTCTCTTTCTTCCTCAGAGTAACCACAATCAGAAATTGGTTACACACTTTCTCTGCCTGAACTTTAAGAGACCCCCCCCCCCGGGGGATACTATGTAGCACTGCATGTGTGTTGATTGCAGAAGAGGTAAAATATTCCCCCCCAGGAAACTGCTTAGGGTAGCTCACACTTCCAATGCTCATGGGACCAGACATGAGATTTGTGCCCATGACTGCATGAACCCAAAACGTAACACTTCTTTGTTTTTAATTGCACTCTGTGAATAGACTCACTCACTCACCCTGCCCCCCCCCCCCGATTCACAAAGCCTGCAATTTGAGCTGTTCCCTATGCATTTGCTTTACGATTAATGTGAAAACCTCGCCCACCTGGCAGGCTTCTCAAAGATGGGAAGCCAGTAGAATCATTAAGTGTTGGGTCTTGCTGCATCCTCGATGCTACTGGATACAGCCAAGTTGCTGTTTTTGCCCATGCTTGCAGCACCAGCAAGATTCGAGTGTGCCCATTGCTCAGAGGCATACACTGAGTGTGCCCAGAGGTGGAGAAAGTGAGACCCAGACCAGTGAACAGACTTGCCCAAAACACTATAACCAGTCTGTGGAGAGAAGCCAGCTAGTCTTTGGTCTATGCTTACATGCTCCATTCTCTGGTCAGCGTTCAAGAAATAAATGCCTAGGAATATTTTTCCTTTTGTTCAACCAAGTTCAGTCTCTGGAGTCCAATCTCTCCCTTGACCTCAGTCTGAGCAGTCTTTGTCCAACTTTGGGGATCATTCTGGTTTCTGCTTTTCTAGGAAAGGAATACAACTTGAAAGTTGCTGGCTGGTAACAAGTATCTTGCATCATTTTCAACATTAACAAAGAAAGCCTGTTTTTCCCACACTGAGGACATCTCCATTCTTCTGGTTCTGTCACCCCTGGGAAGGAAATCTGATGTACCTTGACTGTTTTATAACAAAATATCCTGGAGAAATGAGACACTGTCAGCAGAAGCATGAAAAAACTACGGGGATAAAAATTAGCCAGAGATGAAGACGGTGATAGTCAAATAAATTGTGTTGTTTAAAATTGGTTTTTGTGGTAATCGCTACAACAGGCATCTCCGAGACGGTGAAGGTCACATGTGCCAGTACTGAAAACCCTCAGGCCGAGTGCTGGGGAGGCTAACTCTCCAAGGCCTGCTGCTGCCAGGACAGCTCTCAAGGCTTCTTTATCCAGGGGCACCTCTGTCCGCAGGTGGCTGGGTCAGCACAGCAACAATGAAAGGCTGACTCACACGACTGACCACCTGGGGTGTGGAGAGACAGGTTTGATTCACCAGCCTTGCTCAGAGCACAGGCAGGCTACAGGTAGAGCTGGAAGGGTCCAGCAGACATCCAGCCTGAGGAAAGGAGCTATAGATCCTAAGCTGGTACCACAGAGAGTTCACAGGTGATCAGCGAGCCCAGCACTTGTCACCCACATCTTGCCTTTCTCTATCCTTAGACTTTAAATGTCTTGAGAGCCACAACTTTGTTGCATTTACACTGCTCTTTCTACCGATTAGGAAGGGCCCCGAACATAGGAAATACTCAGCAAGTGCTATCTGTTGACTGACTGAATGAATGAATGACTTCCGTGCACTACATCCTGAGCCATACCAGAGATGAACCCACGGGGCTGGAGCAGGCTTTCTGTCACTAACACCCAGCCCAGCCCACATCGGCAGCCCAGCCCATCCTGCCAGATGCCCTCTCCAGGAAGCCTCCCCTTGCCAATATGGTATTTGCTTTACTTCCCATATTTTCTGTCTTCCTTCTCCACAGTTACCATTCCAACCCCATGGCCTCCCAGATGGACTGCAAACCAAGATTTTAGACTCTCAACCGAGTGCTCTCTTCACTGCCCCCATCTCTGCATCTACTTCCAAGGTCCTGTCAACAGTTCCTCAGAGTTGACCCTGAACCTACCTGGTGATGCGGGGGAAGTTATTTGGCCTCAGAGTGGCTTCTTTAGTGAGCACAGAGACCATTACAGGGCCCAGGCCAGGAAGAGAATATCTTGTCATGCAAGTTCCAGTGAAATGTTCAGTCTCACTTAGTCCATGGTATTCTTGTGGTAGGGCAACTGGGCCCCTTCTGGGCCACTAGTGATGCTAGAGGGCCTCTACTCCAGCCACTGGAGATGGGGCTGGGAAGCAGGGTATGCAGAATGACATGAGAGCCCATCTCCTAGACACCCAGGTGTAGTAGGACCCTTGAGTGAACCTTAATTCTGCATCGGAAACCTGGACACAGTGGAATACTAAGGCTGTCCACCCCAAGGCTCCAAACCCATTCAGTAATGAAAGCTTGATCCAGACTTAGTGAAATGATTGCTGGTGTCCCCAGCAGGGAGGAACATTCCAGAGGCATAGCCCATTCTCCTCTCACAACACCTGTCTCTGTCCTGATCACTACCTCAGGACACATTTATGAGTTTGCCATGTCACACAGTGAGCTTTGATCAGCACAGCTGTAAGTGGTTTGGATGGCAAACCCTTCTCATCTAGCCCCTGCTGGAGTGGGGTCTATATGTTTGCCTGGCAGTCCAGAAGGCCTGGTTTGGATCCACAGCACTGAATAGGCCAAGTGCAGTAGTCGTATATTCCTTTATCACCACTCAGGAGTTGGAGGCAGGAAAATCAGAAGTTTAAGATCAGCAGCAGCTACACATCAAATCAGGGGCTAAGTCTCAAAAAGAAAAACAAACAAAGAACTGAAATGCTGGAGATATGGTTCAGTCAACTAAATGCTTTCCCTACAAATATGAGGACCATTGTTCAGCACCCCAGCACCCACACACTCAGAAAATAAGGTGAAAATTGATTGAAGAAGATCCAACATTCACCTCTGGGACAGACACACACACACACACACACACACACACACACACACACACACACACACACACCATACACCATCTAGAACTCTGTGACCTGGAGCCTCCTGACTCCCCATGTACTCTGACTCCCAAGGAGAATGGAGTGGATCATCTGCTCAGTTGTGCCTAGCTGAGACCATCAGGCAGTTGCATATGGAAGCCCATGGATATCAGAAGGCCTCTCACTCAGTGGGGTTGGTGGCTAGCAGTTGGCACAATCTGGTTCTCCTCCTTGGTGCACTCTTTCCCAATGGCATCTCATCCCCCCAGAGCCTTTCCTTCTCAACCCTGAACTTCCTTGGAGCATGATAACAGGGTATCGGTAGAGAAAAACAGGATCTTATGACTATTTATTGATTGGTTTCTTTCTTTATTTCTTTATTCATATTTGTTTTTCCAGACAGGATTTCTCTGGCTCTCCTGAAACTCACTCTGTAGACCAGGCTGGCCTCGACCTCAGAGATCCACCCACCTCTGCCTCCCAAGTCCTGGGATTAGAGGCCTGTGCCACCATGCCTGGCTGTGACATTTATTACTTATTTTGGGCAAAGTGACCCACGTGACACAGCACAAATGTGGAGGTCAGAGGAAAACTTGACAGAACCGGTTCTTTCCTTTTGTCCTGTGAATTCTGGTCTGAGCATCAAACTTGGGCCATCAGGCTTGGCAGCAAGCACCTTTATCCTCAGAGTCATCTCATGGCCCTAAAGCAGAATCTCAGAAGTGAGGCTGGCATTGACATGGGGTCACTTCCTCTGCATACTATATCTAGAGCGAGTAATAAGTCAGGCCAAAGTCAGGGCAGGAAAAGACATGGACCACCCAATGAGAGGAACAGCACATCCAGACAGGAAGTAGGGGTTGAAGATGATGTCCAAAGAGAGGTGGCTGTGGGAATCACGATTCCTTCGTGGTATGATGCATGGCCCTTGGTTGTCACATCTATTCACCCTCACAGAGAGAGTCCAAAGAGACCAAAGAAGGGCTCCATCCCAATGCAGGTTGGTGACCAATGATCTCCCTGGGACTACTTAACAGGAGCTTGGTGGGCTCAAGGGCAGCCACATCAAGAGGAAGTCCCCTGGGCAATAACAGCACTGAACTGTTCCACTCACAGCATGAGGACCTGTGAGAAGCTGCCACTGAAGGGTCCCGGGGATAACTTAAAGACCACCGCACTGTGAAAGAGTGGACCCAGCTAATCGCTTACCTCTCATCTAACCTAGGGAAGGGCCTTGCTAAAGATCCATGAATCTGTGCAGCTCTATCTCATAAGGATCACATGGGAGTAACCAGATGCCCTCATCCAAGATGGTGCTACTCATGTCCAACTGGAAGGATACACAACAGCCTCTCTCAGGAGAGAATCATCCTGAATCCAAGGGCCCCCTTCCAAAGACCCACACCGGTCCATTTGGGGACTAACAACAGGAAGCCATGAGCAAAAGGGATGTCATAACCAGAGGCAGCCCATGACAGGACAGGGTCATGAGAGGTGCCCAAAAACCTTCCAAAGTGTTCCATGAGAGAACATTATTTGGAATGGGCCCCTCACCCAAGAACACCAGACCAGATATGTGAGTTTGAGCTTTCACCTCTCCTCCCCCTTCAGCACAGAGAAGCCCTATAGTGATGGCCCCTGACCAAGGGAAGTCTGGGGGGAGGGTGTCTGGGAAGAAGTTGCTTCAGATTAAAAGTGAGATTAGAGGTTCAATTATACAAAAGATAGGTGTTTTAACAACTAGAGAAAAATGAGCTATTTATTAATCCCTAGGAGTTCACAGGAAAGCTGAGAACCTGTTGAGGTTCCATCAAGGAAGGGGGAAGAATTAGTCAAGGGAATAAATTAATGGGGCAGAGTTAAACTTTAAATTGCTTTCTGCACAAAGCCTGACAACTCCAGTTCATTCTAAAGCCCAGTTACGTAAATAATAAAAATGTGCAACAGCTGAGTGCAGGTTCTGGAATCCAGTTGATGACCAACCATCTAGGACTGAATCCCAGCTCTGCTACTTCCTAGCTGGGTGAGGAGTTGAGGTAAGTTGTGTGGCCTCTGCACCTCATCCACAAAAGGAGATCTAGTAACTGAATCATGAGGCTACCGTTACAGGTCAAAATGGCGAGTGGTTGGGGCTGAGGTGTGGCTCCGTTGGCAGAGTGCTTGCCTAGCATATGTGACACACTGGGTTTGATCCCCAGCAGCACACTGATCAGGTGTTGTGGCACACGCCTGTAAGGAAGCAGAAAGATCAGAAGTTCAAGGTTGTCCTTGGGCTACATGGCAAGTTCAAGGCCAGCTTGGGCTACATGAGACCTGTCCTAAAATAAATAAATAGCAAAAAAAAAAAAAACTATAAAAGTGAACAGGAATAAATGCTACTGGAAGGACCAAGCAGACACCATAACAGGCTGTCAGTCTTCTCTCAGAGATCAGGCCTCAATTTCAGTTTCCTGAGACCTGAGCAAGCAGTTTCTGGGAGGGCCATGAACAAAAGACATAGTCCTTGCAGTAGCTCCATTTCTGCACATACTCTGACCGCTCAAGGTTCAGCCAGTTGTTTACTGTCTGGAACCCCTCACCAACCTAGAGCTCCATGCATGGGTCAATGTGGACATGCTAGGCCAGCCAGCCTCCATGGCAGCTCAAGGACAAAGCCTGGGACTTGTCCAGGCCTGCCCAAAATGATAACTGTAACCCCCAACTGGTGAATTCAAAGGTTACATACCCTTACCCAATCATATGATGCAAAGGCTTGTACCACCCTGCTTGCCGTTTTTCCCTTTAAAAACTCCTCACACTGAGAGCTCAGGGCCATCCTCCTCCACCTGCTGTGTCAAGTGTTGGACATGGACCAATCCCAGGCTTGCTTTGCTAGTAATAAACCCCTTTGTGCTTGCATTGGATATCGGCTCTGTGGTGGTCTTGTTTGGGGGTCTCGAGATGTGGGTATTACACTACTTCTCAGGATTTGTGGGCTAATGTTTTTAAAACAATGATCTTAGGCTCACCCTGAAGACAGGGATGGCACCTACAGCCAGCATCTCAAGCTCAAATCCCAGCTCTACTGCCACTTGCTAGATTGTGACTCTGTCAAGTGACGCAACCTCTTCACGCCTCAGCTCCCCGGATG